ACGTAATTCTTCTATGGATTTCTCATCCAATACAACATTTCTACTACAAAATCTTCTATATTACCCCTATTTTAAGTTTCTATGAAATTAGAAAAAATAATGAGTCGTTAAGAATAAAATTTCTTGATAGTATTACATTTGGTGTTTTAGAGCCCGTAATTTATTTTTTTACCAAACATTCTATTAACACGAGCCTAGTTCATTTAGATAAATGATATGTATTTTACCATCTTCAAACTCATCATCATTGTAGGTGAAAATTACCTACATATTTTTTTGACTAAAATTTGAAAACATGTTTCTGGAACAAATGCGGGACCCATATTGTCCATTCGTGCTACTTTGATAACATTTAATTACAAAAGTTAATATGATTTGTTATTTTTGTTTGTTTCCTTTTTCTTCGTGATTCTTCCGGTAAGATGTATTTTTAATTATTTATATAGCTATCATGATTGCTAAAATAATTATTTTGGCCATTATTTCCTTTATTTCTTGACTATTACTATCAAGGTGAGCAAAACTACTGATCCATTTGGATTCAGTTTAGTTAGCTATTCAAGGGATTAGGTGGTTTGAATCAAATTTGTTATTTGGGTCGATTCAATTTTATAGAAATTTATTGATAAGGCTTAAAATCAAATCGACATGGTAAAATCGACTAAAACTGATGAAATCAATTGATTCAATTCAAATCAATTCAGTTCAAATGTTAATATTGATTTGCTTCGATTTACCGGCCGAAAATTTCAATTTGCATTTTTTGCCATGACTCAGTTCGATTTCAATCAAACTAACCATTTACTCACCCCTAATTACTATGACCATATTCTTGACTCATTTACACCCAGTGTCATTATATATCATTACATTCATTTTAAGGAATGAAACAATTTCAGTCGGGGGACTTTATAATTTTTTATTAAAAAAAACTTATTATTTTGCTTGCAACTAAAAGATATGAAATTAATTAAGAATATTTTTTAACTTTTTTTTATCAAAACTTCTATTATATAAATATATTTGAGGCATGTTAATGTTGATGAGTTTAAATTAAGAGTTAATATAAATTTCAAACATAATTACAGCAATATCATTATTATAACTAATAAATAAATCAATCAATTCTCAAATTTTAAATATACATGGATCAGAATATAAGTTAAACAATTATTTTATTTATATGATTTTATATTATTATTTAACAAGATAAGCAAATATGAGCAAAGCAAAAATATTTATAACAAGATAAATGCACAAAGATATTTGCCATCTGTTAACCAATATATATAAATTAATGTACAACATCACATATATCATCTATTTCCATGAGCAACTATAAAGTAAAATCCAGAATATCATTGAAAACTAGTGACTTTAATAGCACATTGTTGGGTGATGCTCTACAGCATAGAGGTTCCTGGTTCAATTTGTATTCTTCTTTTTGTGGGTGGGCTAGGGGGTGTCAAAATAGAACATGATTTGCATAACACTCAAAATAAATAAGTTAGGATTGGAGTTAAATGGATTTGTATCATAAACGGGTCACGAGTTGACACGTAGATTAAGCGAGTGACATGTTTGTTTAGAATAAAGAGATAATTTTAGTGTCAAATATAAATACCCCAGCTAAAATTTTATTTAAACTATATTGTTGTATAATTTTTTGTTATTCTAGTTATGAATATTGGAAAATCTATACAATTTATGTATAAAGTTTATTCTTAAATATGATTTGAATTAAATAGGTTTAAACTTAAAAATATCATAAACAGGTTCAATGGATCGTATACAGGTCAATACAAACCAATTTAACCTGCTTATGATATTAGGTAAGTAACAAGAGTTATATACGAGTCAATACGATCCACTTAACATGCTTATGATATCAAGCGAGCTACACTTGTCATGTTCGTGTCACCTACCTAATTTTTATGTCGTGTTCATATTGGCAAATTTGAAACGATCATTAAACGGGTCGAGTTCGTATTGACCCTAATTAATGCCGCGTATTAGATGAATCCGTGTCGAACCCGACATACCAACCCATTTTGACAATCCTAACTATAATGCCCTTTAATGGGCTTTATAGTGGATTGTTAAATAGTCCATTTGGCCTTGAATTACATAGCAAAGGTCCTTCCACTTCCACAAAGGCCATAACCTTCTAAAGTTTAAATCACTAGTTCATCCTATTTAGATTTGGGAAATGGGTTAGTTGTCCAATTGGACGTTATCTGTAGATGGAAACAAATAATTGGACGTTACTAGTTCAAAGCCCAAATGATTAGGCTAATAATTCAATGGAAAAATCACGGTACGATCCCTATAGTTAGCGAAATACAATTAGTTTATTCCTGTCTTTTTTAAAATATATTAATTTATCCGTATATTTTGATTTTGTTACACTATTAGGTCCTTCTATCCAATTTTTGCATCTTTTCTATTTAGTCAATACGAAAACACAAAGGTAAAAGGAAAGGTAGTAAAATATTATAGCAAAAAAATTACAATGCAATCCCTATGGTTGGAAAAATACAATTAGTCCATCCCTCTGTTTTTAAAAATAAAAGAGGTATTTTCGTCATTTCATAAAGTACTTAACGAAAAATATGTAAAAGTTGGATGAAAGGACTTTATAGTCTGACGAAAGTAAACTATAAAGACATTTTAGTTTATTTTCTAAAAGACAGAAACGAATTAGTTGTATTTCATAAACTATAAGGATCATACTATAAGTTTCTCTAATTCAAAAGTTGAAAACTTATTTTGGGGAAAAGTCTTATAAACTTAAACAAAATGATGGCAGAAGATAGGGAAAACGGGTCGGCCCATAATGATTCGAACTCACTTAAGGAAAAGATGAAACCTCTAATCTCAACACTGGTTGGTAGCAATAGTAGAGGATATATTAATTTACGGATTCTCAATTGCTTCTTTTGGCCCTTAAATTTATTTTTATTGATAACTCTGAGTTTGGTTTAATAGTTCAAAAATTTAAAACTATAAATTAATTTTAGGCTTGATATTAGTATTAAATGGATTCGGACACTAGTAAATATAGGTGTTTATACCCTTGTTAGAGTATCATATTGATATGCTCGTCTCCAAAATTGGGATTAATCTTAGAATGTTTGTTGGATTATTTTTCCTGCAGTCAATGCAAGTGTTTTTTTTCCCTTAAAGAAAAAACACAATTGCAAAGAATAAGAATTTTGATTTAGCATTGTATTTGGTTCGTGGAATAAAAGAGAATTTTTTTTTTTTTTTTTTTAGAATCGAATAATTATTCTATTCATCAAGCTTTATCTAAACTTAAAGTCAATTTTATAAATGTGTGAACTAACAGTTCATATTAACTATTCCAGCAAGCAATTTGTTGGAAAATCTTTAATGTGATCAACTACAAAATAATAATAATAATAATAATAACAGAGAGAGAATTTTTGATTTAGCATTGTATTTGGCGGTGGGAATAAAAGAGAATTTTTTTTTTTTTTTTTTGATCGAATAATTTATTCTATTCATCAAGCTTTACTAAAAACTTAAAGTCAATTTTAAAGTTGTGACTAACAGTTCATATTAACTATTCCAGCAAGCAAGTTTGTTGGAAAATTTAATGTGAATCAACTACAAAATAATAATAATAATGAAATAATAATAATAATAATAATAATAATAATAATAATTTAATCTCTGTCCCAAAATATAATAGTAATAATAATAATAATAATAATAATAATCTCTGTCCCAAAATATAAATAGGTCTTGAGTTATTATTTTGTTCCAAAATATAAGTCCTTTTAAATATTTGAAATAAAGTCCAATCTGGTCGCTGAACTTGTTTAGCAGGATGAAAAGGTCAGATTTGACCTTTCGGGTCAATTTATCCTTTGAACTTGTATAAAATGATTAAAAAGATTCGATTTACTTTTTAAGCTAATTTAACCCTTAAATTTATTTAAAATGATAAAAAAATCATAATTAACATTTTGAGTCAATTTAACTTCTAATTGTTCATTGTACTTATAATGTGGAAATCATTATGATTAAAAAAAAAAATCATATTTGACATTTTGAGTCAATTTAATCTCTAATTCTTCGTTGTACTTATAATGTGAAAATCATTTTATAGACATTTATTGAAACTTAATTGGGATCGACCTCTTTACCTTGATTGATGGTTTGAGTTTATAAATATGTATTAATTTGAACATTTTAAAATTAATCTCTATTACTGGATTATCGCTTATGAAATCTATGCATTCATATTGGATAAATTAAAGTTATAATGCATGTTTATAATTATGAACATTTTAAAATTAATCTCTATTACTGGATTATCGCTTATGAAATCTATGCATTCATATTGGATAAATTAAAGTTATAATGCATGTTTATAAATTTATTATATTACAAGAAATGATGTTTTTATGAATTTTAAATTTATATTTATAAGTGTTGGAAAAGTTTGTTCCTAGTGTTCTTAGTGTAGGATAAAAAGGGATCAAAAGTCAATCGTATTAAATTAAATCAATTATTAATTTATAAAATCAAAACAAATTCAAGGGTTAAATTGGTCTAAAAAGTGAAATCGAATCTTTTTAATCATTTTATACAAGTTCAAAGATAAATTCGCCTAAAAGATCAACTCTGACTTTTTTGATTCTGCTAAACAACTAAATTGACTTTTATTTCTTGAGTATTTTAATAAGTAATAAATGATATTTTTTCAATTAATTATTAGTTTTGAGATAAACGATAATTTGGTTAAATTATCCTTATCTTTGTTATAATTTAGGCGAATTAATTGTTTTCTTAATTCTTATACGGAAACCTTAAACGACTTATATTTTAGGATACACGGAGTAATATCTTAAAGAAAGTAATCTTTTGTGTTTAAATTAGTAATAAGCTCAACATTTAGTCACCTCCAACGTCTTCTGTCTGTGACTAATATCTACTTTCAAGTTCCAAAGCAATAATATGATCATTAAAAATGGATCAAAAAGACTATATATATAACCATGAAAAATATTAAGCAACTTTAAATATACAAAACAATTGCTCCAAAATTAGCATCAACCTATAAAAATCACTGGTAGCCTTTCCCCTTTATGGGAAATTTCTATATTAAGTGTTATGAGTACAACAAACATCTTCTAACAATGGAAATTTTGATGAAATAGAGAAAAGAGAAGTTAAATCACCGGCATCCAAGAGTAGCTCTTCCATCAGGAGTAATAGTTGTATTAGTGCAAAGCTTCTGAAGATCAATGTAGCCTATTATGGTGTCCTCAAAAACAGCATCTGTCAGTTTAGCTTCATCAAAGGTGGAGCCTGATAGTACAGAATTCTTGAAGATAGCTCCTTCGAGATTAGCTTTCCCGAAGTTAACCCGATCTAGAACTGCATTTGAGAAGTCCACATCTGCAAATAGTTGGATTTACTGTTATCCCATTCGATCCTATTCAAAGATTGTGCCTGCTTTTAATTATTCAAGAAAAATGGAGAAACTTGCATATCAAAGATTATATCAAGACCTCATTTTATTACAGACTGCAATTTATTAGCTTAAAGATTATTGCAGAAATCATATGCAGTTTGCCTTCTAGGTTCAGCCTCCATATGGACCAATATTACTTACAAACACATGTAAATGCATCTAAGGTCTTTTTTTTTTCAATTTCCATGGCTTTCTTATTCCCCATTTCTGCGAGACAGTGAGATGATTCTACTGTTCTTTCATGATTTTCATAAAATGGATTTCACTTCAAATGCCAGCAAGAAACTACGAGAAAGAAAAAGGGACAATTTTTATAAATGGTACCATTGGACTAGTCAGATTTTTGCGTTATAGTGCAAGAGGCCTGAGGTTCATATCTTATTACAGACTGCAATTTATTAGCTTATAGAATATTTTTTTGCATTCTAGATTCAGCCTCCATATGAACCAATATAATTTACAAATGCATATCAATCCATCTAAACCATTTTCGTTTTCAATTTCCATGGCTTTCTTATTCCTTATTTCTACTAAACAGTAAGATGATTCTGCAGTTCTTTCATAGTTTTTACAAAATGAATATGACTTCAAATGCCAGCAAGAAACTGGGGAGAAAGCAAAAGCAATCAATTTTTATAAATAGTACCATTGGACTACTCAGGTTTTTGCATTATAGTGCAAGAGGCCTAAGGTTCAAATCTTAACAGCTCCCTCCCCTTTAAAAATTTCCAGGGTACCAAAAAAAAAAAAAAAAAATGGAGAGGGATATCACCTTGTTTGCTTCACTAAAACTCTGTATAGAATGCATATCATCTACAAGTCCATGATATACCAACCGAAAACTATAAACAGTTTCAATGACAAATCAAGAAGTTACCCTTGAAACTGGCTCCAACAGCATAGGCCTTCGACATCACCACCTCTGACATATCAGCACCATCAAACTTGGCATCTGACATAAGTGCTGCTGCAAGAGACTTCCCCTTTAAATTAGATTTGTCATTTGTATAATCACAGAAGCGAAGATCAATAGGCTTGTCATAAACACCATTTGCTTGACCTATTGTGTTCCCAACAAATGCCTTTTCACATCGGTTGGGCTCTGTTGAAAGTGGGGGTAGCCTCTGCAAACCAAACATAGTACGGATCTATATATTGTGAGTATAATGAATTTTATTATTATGGGACCATCATATATGATTTTGAAAAAAGTACACCTTACAAATTGCACAGGAACTTTACTGAGATTGACGGAATGATATAAAATGAAATGTAAATGATAATTAATTAAAGGGAATAGGAAGTTAATAGATGTAAACATTTAACCTCCCTAATTTCTTATTCATATAATAACAAAACTGAAAAAACAAGATTAAAATGCTAATCTGCTTTACCTTCCATCCTCTAACCTCCTTACATTGGAAATGGCTTTAATTATATAAAATTACTTTCCATTAGGACTAACCAAACAACCTAAATGCTTTCAATTCTCAGTCTTATAATGTTTTAGCTAGTATAGCAAGTGAAAAAACACAATTTCCCCTCTTTAAAAAGCTCCAATCTTTATTTTTCTCAATTTTTTGTCTCTAACAAAGGAATCAGTATTGTGATAAGAATACGCTGAGCAAATAAAAACAAACACCCAGTGGTCATACTCAAACACAAAAAGCATTCTTCGTATATACTTCAATCTGAGAAATTAAAAAACAAACATTTATAAACTGGGCAATTGAATGTTGATCTTTAACCTGATTAGCAGCAATTACAGGTGATGCAGCAGTGACAGCCCAAGCAGCAAGAAGGCTGAGAGCCACACTTTGAAGTTCCTTCAATGGCTTTGATTTTGCGTAAGCAATAACATCAAGTTGATCCCTGCGAGTGCTTCCAGGGGTCTTACCGGAACAGCTGATTTCCGGGATAGGAAAACGGCTACGTTTTGGAGACAAAGAACGAAGACACAGATTGTTTTGAGAGAGCGGGAGTGAAAATGTCGCCATTTCTCTGTCTATTTTCAGGATGATAAAAGAAGTTGCTCTTTTATCTGTCAACTAATAATTTCTGTGATGGGCATTATCCGTTTGAATGTTGGTATATACGTGGCGCCACACGTAGGATTTTTGTGTCTTTTAAGATGCTACGCTACAAATAGGATCGAGTAAATTAATGTGAAAACCAATTAACCATGAGTTGTTTAATCTCCTCACTTGTTTGGAAGTAAAAGATCGAATTTGGATCTTTTTTTTTATCACAAGAGTTTTTACTAATATAGTGAGTAAAAAGAGTATTTTGGCCAATTGAGCCTCTTTATAATCAAAATCAAAGTCTGGTAAAATCTGAATTTCAGTTCAATTCGACTTTAAAAATTTGGGATAATGTTATTTTTAATGTTTGTACTTCTCTTTTTTTTTTTTTTTTTTTTTGGTAAAGTCTTTTTTCTTGGTATGCGACCAGAAGATAGTTTTTTTACTAATATCAGTTGCTGTGGTTAGGTGGAGCAAGACTATCTCGATTTGTCAAATTGAGTCCTTCTTTATAATTTCAAATCAGAAGTCGGTTAAATTCTGTTTATTTCAGTTCTCAATATGTGCGAGAGCTTTAACCAATTTGCGCGCATTAATGCTATATTTTATTTTAAGGTGTTGCGCTAATCATATATACATATATATATCTATTTTTTTTTTTTTTCTTTTCGGTGTTTTTTTTTTTTTTTTTTTTTTTTGGTGTTTGAATTGAAGATTATGACAATTAAGTGTCTAGACTTGTATTTTGTGGCAATTGAATGACTGGCATTTTTCTTTTTCAATTTAGTGTCTCAAGATAATATGAACAATCAGAATGTTTAATGGGAATAAGTGAGTATGCTACGTATCCACTTACGTGGCTTGACTTTTAATCCACATAGGTTGTATAACGTGACAATCATGTTGAAATTACCCATTTAACCCTATTTATTACAGCTGAAGGTTAGTTTTCTCGAATCATGGCCAGCTAATAGGCCTAGAGCCAGTCAAAGCGAATATATCCTTTCAATCTCTTCTCTGCTATCTAGAACTTCCTCTTCTCCTTCTTCTCCAAACAAACTCTACTGCTTCCCCCTGCAAACCCTACTAATCCCTCTAATCTCATAGATTTCAGCCGAGGCTACAGCGTATTTTGTCTCTCCCTTTGCTCATTAACCTGCACTATCGATTCTTTCAATTCTCCTTCATTCCTATCACCCCAAATCCCTCTTTTAGACCTAAATTTCCATGGCCTCAAATTCCCTTCTTCCTCTATTTGTTTTTGTTTCTCTTTTTCCTCTTAGGGTGGCCACGGTTCCAAAACCGCCGATTTCGGTTTCAAAAAATTTAGAATCGGAATCGAATCGAAAATTAACGGTTCCAATTATGCTTTGGAACCGAACAGTTACAGTTCTGGTTCCGATTTCTTAATGGTTTCAAAACCGACGGTTCTGACCAATTATCCGATTGGTTTTCCGGCGAATCGCATAATTGTAAAATAAAAAAGTAGAGAACATTTTTTCTTCAAAATTTAAAATTTAAAAACTTATGAAATAATTTCTAAAAAAAATACCCTTAAAAAATTAAAAAATGCTTAAACTTAATTTATTTTTTTTTTAAAAAAGACTTGAACTTAATTTTTTTTTTTAAAAAAAAAGTCTTCAACTTAATATATTTTTTTTTTGTTTTAAAAAGTTGGAACTTTTTTTTTTAAAGGGCTTGAACTTAATTTTTTTTTTTAAAAAAAAAAATTAAATTAAGCTGCTTACATATCCTCTTCGGATTTAGAGGAATCAAAGTCCACGTAGTTTCAACTTACCTTTTACCAATTTCACCCTTTTACCTTAGTCGCTGTTTTCATCACCGGTTGATGTTCCTATCGAGGACCTATTGTAAATATCATATAAATCGTCATTTTCTTTGATATTCTCTTATGCTCTTAATTCGGCCTTGCTCTAATCATCCACGCATTAATGTGCTTCTAGTGAATCGAGTGTCATATTAGATCGTGTTTCATCAAGTATGTTTCCTCCTTGACTAAAAGCTTGTTCAACCATAACATTGGAGACCGGAGCTACTAAAACTTGTTTTGCAATTAAAAGGGTTGGGAATGTATTGGCGTGACGATTCCACCAATCTAGAATTGAAAAATTAGTATCTGCAAAATTATCACCAAACTCGAAAGAAGTGGTAAGATAATTATCAAGTTCGGGAAAAGAACCAGATCCCCTAGGTCTTTTTTGTCTTTATAATAATATACATTCAGCAACACCAACACTTACCTTTTCAGTTGGGAATGATTGATTATTAAATTGAGAAGAATTAGAAGAAGTAGATGAACTAGAATGTTCAACACATTCAATATATAACTCTTCTAATATTTTTTCTAACTTGATACAAAACTACATTTATATTAACACTATCTTTTATATCAAGATTTAATATTTCATAATAAAGAGTCAAATATTCAAATAAAATTTCAAATTTACATCTAGGATAGATCAAAAGACATTTATATTAACACTATCTTTTATATCAAGATTTAATATTTCATAATAAAGAGTCAAATATTCAAATAAAATTTCAAATTTACATCTAGGATCAAAGACACAAGCAACAAGAAAAAATGGTGGTATATTTATAAAATAAGATATCCATTTTTTCATTGATAAAGCACAATTTTATAATAAGTCATCATTTTCAAATTCTTGAAATGCACTAATAATATTATTCCCAACTCATTGGAATTCAACATTTTATTAAACGAATCTTTTTCATATAAAGAATTATTGTGCATTTTTATTACTAATAATATTGAAGAAATATCGGTTCGATTCATTTTTCAGTATATAAAAGATGGCTCCAAGTTAAGTTTCACTTTGATGGTTAGGCAATTAATTTAAATAAAGATGAATTAGTTTTGAGTCCCTACAATTTAATAAAGTCACAAACTGAAATTTATATTTTCAAAATTAAGAAAATAGTCGGGATAATTATATTTTTAGTGTCTGAACTTTTATTTTTTTCTATTTTAGTGTCTCAATGGAAAACAGTAACGATTGAATGTCTTAATTAGTAAATTTATGTAATTGAGTATCTCAGAATGATGTGGCTAATTGAAAAACTGATTATGCACGTGTTGAGCCCAATTTTAGTAAAGCTAACAGCTGACGTGGCATGCAACTTAGCCGCATCATGAAACAAATTAGATGCCATGTGAATTAAGCTCTAAAACTTTCATAATTGTCCAATGGTACACATTAAGCGAAGCTTCTCTCCACTACAATGGCAGACTTCTTCATATTGATCTCTAAGATTCCACCAAATCTCCTCCTTATCTTTTGCATATTTCCTCTTATTTTTTCTCTCTCTCTCTTTTTTCTCATTTCATCTTCCTCTCCTAAAAACCCCTTTGCATTGTAGGACTCTACTAATAGCTATAGTCATTGTTAAGGATTATGAAGTGATAGATGTGTATTAATCAGAATTCAGGAAGATGCAATAAAGCTTTGATCTTTAATTTATAGGTTTGATTCTTATGAGTCTGTACTATTATCTTTTTTGGTTTAATTTCTATATTTGATTCTTTAATTTCTTTAATTTTTAGTGTTAAGTTTTGGGTTTAATCTCCGGGTTTAACTTGAAAATCTTTAATTTCTCTAATTTTTGGATTTAATTTCTCAATCTGATAATATGAAATTCATATTTTGAATTGAATTCTTGTAAACACGAACAATATATGGCTAGTACCTTCAAATGAATTGCTCCTAAAGTATAATATTATTCTTGATAAAGTTGAAATTTTTGGTTCTCTAGCAAGGAACACTTGCCATTTGAAGAATCTGTGGGGTTACTCATTTCAAAATCTGTGGATATAGACCCTCCAATATCATGGCAAGTGCATATATTCAAGTATAAACTAGTTTCAAGGATAAATATTGAGTTGCATGCATTTAGACCAATGTTGGAGCAATTCAAGAATGGTTTGATTTTCAAGAACAATTTTGTCATCGACAAATCACCATTGACGAAGCTTGATGGATTTTAATAGGTTTTCTAGTTCTTGATGGATCATTATTCATTTCTTTATTTTTTTTTCTTTTTTTTGGTAATTTTCTAGAGTTTAATATTATTAATGGGTTCTTGCTCCAATTTTCTATTTTGATCTTTGGAGTCAATTTTTCTATTACAACAGTATTGTTCTTGCTGAATTATTGCATTATTTTGTATTTCTTAATTTTTTGGGTTAATCTTATTCGAATAAAATCTTAAGTGATCCTAGTATATCTGAATCTGATACTAACGTATGTGATTCTAATCCTAATGTATCTGAATCTGTTTTTAGTGTATCCTATTATGATCCTTTTTCCTTTTTGTACATACCTTGTACACCTATATAAATGGTGTTGTATAATGTAAATCATATAACTATACAATACAAATTCCTTCTCATTCAACTAATCTTTCTAGAATTGAATATTTATACGTTATTGTTATCTTCTTCTTCCTTTCAAAAAATTTTTAAATTTGCATTTTTATTAGTGTTTGATAGGTTTATTGTTCATGATTAGTTCATGAGACCTACATCTCAGAGAGAAGCAAAAAGATTTGCTAATTTTGATTTTTGAGGCTAGCTTAAAGATTTGATAGAAAGGGATAGAGAAGGAGGTTGTTGGGCAATAATAAATGGAGGTTAAAAAGGATAATTCCTTAAAGTCCATGTTAGATTTAGTTTCTTTGGCAAATTTAAAGTGCTTTTTATCCATATTAACTGCGACGTGTTAAAAAAGTGGGTCCCATAATTGAACAATCATGTTCCTTGTTACCTAAGTTAGTCAAATACACCCAATTATAAATTTTAAAACATTCAAGCACTCAATCATTCTCATTTTTCATTCAAACATCAAAATAAAAAAAAAAAAATTAAAAGTTGAGCCACTAAAGATATAATTATTTCGAAAATATTCTATTTATTTATTTATTTTGATTCATTGAGAGGCTCAATAAGCAAAAATAATACTACGAGTTACACAACAGTAATAGCTCTTTCCTTTGCTCACCAAATTGGTGAAAG